ATATAATATAATATAATATAATTATAATTGTTTAGAATTTTATTTTTAGAAAATTTTAAGAAAACTCTTATTTCAATGTTTTTGAGGTCCAGAGTTTAAATTAAAAATACTCAAAATATCAAAACTTCGTTTTGAATTTTATATAAATTTAGCCTTATTTTCGAAAATAAGTTTTCAATAACACCGAATTAAATAAAATTTGAATGTTTTGCAAAATTGATTCGCTTCAAAATAGTAAAAGTTCCCTTACTTATTTGTCCTTAAGTTAGAAACCCAATAAAGAAAGAGAAACAAGCAATTAAACACTAAAATGAGAAAAAAATAACTAATTTGTCACTTTTTAACCTGGAAAAAGTGAAAAAAATGGCACTTAAATACACACAGAAATAAGCAGAGATGGGGTCCGTGGGATCCGTAAATCTGTTTGATGTAAATTCACGTTACCATTTGTGGGTTTGCACATGAAAGATAACCTCCCTTTCCCATTAATTGATTCTCCTCTCTCCAATTCACCATATTGTACTCACTCAACTTCAAAGATCCCTCCACTCATTCTCTCTCAACCCTTCAATTTTAGTACTCTTTCTCTTTCTCTCTCTCTGAATTCGATTTTTGTTCCAAATTTACCCCCATAGAAAGATTTAGTAAAGATTCCATTTTTAGGGTTTTTCATTGTCAAAATCAATTCGAAAGCCCCAATTTCACTTCAGATCAGAGTTCAATATTCTCCTCTTTATTAATTTCTTTGTGGATTTTCAACAAATTCTCATTCTCAATTTATCAAAAAGAGCTGATTTTGACATTTTTATAGGGAACTTCGCTGCAAAATTGCAATGCTTGTGCTGAAGATTGTGGATTGATTGGTATGTCTACTGTGATTTTATTTTCCGTCCTTTTTGACAGTGTAATTTATTTTGGGCATTTTGCATGCGTGAATTACAAGAGGGTTCCTCTGCTGCATCGCAGTGGGTCCCAAGTGTCACAGTTTTCTCGTTTTTATAACTTTAAGAACAGTTTCTGTAATGCATGCGTAGGAACTTGGTTTACAATTTAAATGCATGCAGTTTGTTTATTCAGGTGAAAAAAATAGTAGTAGTTTTTTTGGATGATTTGGGAGGATCAGTTTGCATAAAATGCACATGGCACTTGTGCTGTAATTTCCCTAGTTTTTATGACCTTTTCTTAAACTGGCATCTTATATTAAAATTTAACTGTTGTGGAAAGTGTTGTTTGGTTGGAACTGGATGGATTTTATGGGTAAGTCACCACACGATAGCGGTACAATGTGATGGAGATTGGCGATTTGCATGTAACTGAGACATGCTTGGAATGTGTTAAATTGGATATGCATGTTTGGTGGAGACGTCTTGGTGGACGACTTGAGTTTCATAATCCACTTATTTAATTGATGGTTAAGATACAGGTTCGGGCGACAAAGGAAACAAATTGAAATGATTACACTTTCTTCAGTTTTTTTTCCTTTTCATCTTGTAATTTCTCTTGAAATTACATTTTTGCCCAACCTTCATTTGGAGTATCCTAGTTTTTGATGAAATGAATTTGAGATTGTGAATGTGGAAGGGTTGGATGACCAAGTTTCATTTTGGAACTTTGTCATTTGAAGTGATATGTGAAAGTTATGTGTTGAGTCACGAGTATCATCAATGTGGGAAATCACCTTCTAAATATTGATAAATCAAATAGTTTGGATACAAGAAAACAACCGACCACTTATAGTATATTATAAGCTCCATTAAGATATTGATAATAATATAGAGCTTAAATGTCTCAAATTAAACCAATATTATGCTATGAGGGCTTGTGTTTCTACCTTATTTGATTGGCTGGAAAGGCTTCACCATAAACAAAGTGTGAAATATAATTAATTAAACATAACAGACTACGCACGTAGAGAAATTTATACCAGTAACACGGTAATATCACGACGTCCTGTTTATCAATTGAGCTAGGTTAATATCGACTACTATTAAACTTTAACAGTGCTATGAACTTTGAATGCTACCATATAATAAAACTTCATTATAGCTTAGAATATCTCATGGTATGGAAAGATTTATGTTACCAATATCTTTTGAAAACAAGGCAATTTTTCAGTGACAAATCAAGCAAAGAAAAAAGAAATAAAGATACGTTACTTGGTCGAAAGATATAAATAAAAAACTAGAAAAAGATTATGAAATAAATGAAAATAAGAAAGGAAATAGAAAAAGTGTACAAAAAGAGAACGTCACATATTTGTCACTTTTTAACCTTAGA